GTCAAGAGGCTTTGAGATTCAGGTTACACATTTTGGCAACAATACTCGACAGAAGATTTTGTATATTTCATATTGCATCACCTCGGCGTGTCTGCTTGTCTCTCTGTTGGTGATGCTAGGTTTGATTGCCCCATCACAGTCTAACCACCATCTGCATTGAAAAGGTGCATTTTCCCCTTTGCTGGGAAAGTAATCTGTAGGGTGGTACTCTCACACTGTGTGACTACCCTTATCGATGACCTTTCACCTGGTAGTTTTGCATCCATCAGACTGGTGGTGCCATCTTGCTTTCCCATCAATGGATGAGAGTTCTGGTGACCCCACATTTTTGTCAGCATTTGTTTTTGTTGGTTTGTCAGTATTTTTTCTTCTAACCATTCTAATAGATACGTGGTGATAATCTCATGGTTTCAGTTTGTCTTTCTCTAATGGCTAATGATATCAAACATCTTCTTGTGTACTTATTTGCCATCTGTATATCCTCTTTGATGAAGGATCTGTTCAGATCTCTTGTCCATCTTGTGATCATGTTGGTTGTTTCCTTACTGTTGAGTTTTGAGAGTTTTTTTTATAAAAAAATACATTCTGGACACAAACTTTTCTCAGATGTGCAGCACACGGTTTGAGGGCTATTCTGTGGAGAAAGTTTCAGTGTCGTTTCCAGGGGAACATGACATGGACTACATAAACCCCTGCAGGAAATCTACTTTTGTTAACAGTTATTTTCTTTAAGTGTGATAAAAATATTTATAACATAAATGTTACCATTGCAACCATTTTTAAGTGTATAGCTCAGTGGCATTAAGTACATTCACACTGGGGCGCCTGGGTGGCTCAGTTGGTTAAGCATCTGCCTTCAGCTCAAGTCATGATCTCGGGGTCCTGGGATCAGGTCCCGCATCGGGCTCCTTCCTCAGTGGGGAGCCTGCTTCTCCCTCTGCCTGCTGCTCCCCCTGCTTGTGTGCGCTCTCTCTCTCACTCTCTCTCTCTGACAAATAAATAAATATAATCTTTAAAGAAAAAAACAGTACATTCACACTGTTGTGCAGTCACCACCATCCATCTCCAGAACTTGCATTATCTTTTCAAACTGAAACTCCATGGCCATTAAACACTTAACTCCCCATCCCCCTCACCATCCCCTGGTAACCACCACTCGACTTTCTGTTTCTATGAGTTTGACTATTTTAGGTACCTCATATAAGTGGAATCATGCAGTATTTGTTCTTTGTGACTGGCTTATTTCACTGAGCATCATGTCCTCAGGATTCATCCACATTATAGCATGAGTCAGAATGCCTTTCCTTTTTAAGGCTGAGTAATATGTATGTAATATTGTATGTATACAATACATTTTGTTCATCATTTGGCTATTGTGAATAATGCTGCCATGAAAAAATCTGCTTTTAATTCCTTAACGGCAGGACACTGAGTGTTAAATGGGTTTGGGATAGAATCTAAAAGCCAAGGTCAGGGGACACCTGGGTGGCTGTCGGTTAAGCGTCTGCCTTCGGCTCAGGTCATGATCCCGGGGTCCTGGGATCAAGTTCCTCATTGGGCTCCCTGCTCAGCAGGGAATCTGCTTCTCCCTCTGCCTGTTGCTCACCCTGCTTGTGTGCTCTCTCTTTCTTTCTCTCCCCGCCCCCCCCGGTAAATAAATAAATAAATAAATAAATAAATAAATAAATAAATAAAATCGCTTTTAAAATTATAAAAAAATAAAAGTCAAGTAGACTGCTTTGGTGGCAAGTAACAGACACTAAATCTGGCTTAAACAAGAAAGGGAAGGTTTTGGCTTGCGGCCGTGAAATGTCCAGGATGCTGGATCTGGGGGTTCAAATGATATCACAGGACTCAGGCCCTTTCTCTCCCTCTTGGCTGCTTGCTTCTGAGTGACAGATGCTTTCCACATAGTTCTCCTCCCAATTAGCCATCACGATGGGGAGAGGGGACTCTTCCCTGACCATAACCATCAGAAGTCCCAGAATTGAGTCTCGTTGCCTGGCTTGCGTCACGTGCCTGTCCTTGAACCACTGTTGTGGCCAGGGACAGGCAGCAGTCTGGTTGGCCAGGCCTGGGACGCACGCCCCCTCCCTATCACAAAGACTAGGAAAGGGAGAGGGGTGACATTCCAAAGGAAATTAGGCGCTGTTACCAAGACAAGAGAAGGAATACCAGATAAGCAGGCATATTGATCAACTGCTATGCGGGAAAAACTAGCTTTGCACGCCTCCTGTGTGCCAGGCGTTGGGCAAGGCCCCACATGCATTAGTGATTGCTGTGAATCCTCAAGGGAAATTACTCACCCTGTTTAAGAGAGAAGGACACTGTGGCCAAAGAGGTTGGTGCCTGTGAGTCTCCCCCAGTAGCAGGGCTGGCGTCAGAACCCAGTGGGTGTGCCCTTTCACCCACCCCTAAACCCTGGGCAAGGCCAAAGCCCTGCATTGGGACAATTCTCATTAAAAAGTTAGATCTGTGCCTAAAAATGCAGGCATCAAATTGTGTTCAGAGGTTGATTCCAATAAACCAATTAGGACTGCTGCAGAGTCCTTGTACCATATGTACAGAACTTTAAAAAACTATAAACAAGAGATCGAGAATGAATTGTGTAAGCAGAATTTTTTTTTTTCCATTTATGGGAATGCTTTTTTTGGTTGGTTTTAGGAAAACAATGACTTTGATGATCAGTCTTTTTTTTTCTTTGTTTTTTAATCCACATTAGCATTGTTCTTGACAAATAGTCATCCAAACTTTGCTTAAGCATCCCCCGGTGACAGGACTATTGGTATGGTCTTCTCTGGGCCTCAATTTACCCATCTGGAAGTTGGGGCCATTGGATTGGCTGAGTCCCTTTCAGTAATGGAAAGGCCTCCTTAGTGGTGTCCCTGCTCCTCGTCATACCATTTTTCGCACAGTGGCCAGAAGGATATATAGGAAACGTTTTTAAACACATACATTAAATCGTGTCACACAACCCCACCCCTTGAAACTCTTTAATAGAACAAGATCCCATCTCCTCCCTGTGGCCTGCAAGCCCCTCGTAATGCCACCGCTGCCTGCCTCCCTCCTCCCCCGGCTCTGCTTGCCATGATGGTCTTCTTCCACCTCAGACATGTCCGGCCTTTCCTGGCCTCCATATCCTTACTCGTCTTCTCTCTGCCCGGAATACTCTGTTCTCAGCTCTTCTCCTGGCCAGCTCCTTGTCCTTCAGGTCTCCGTTCAATGTTTGCTTCTTCAGATAGGCCTTCCCTTCCAAGGACACCCAGCTGCCCCACCTTCCCCCCTCGTGCACTCACAGCAGGCTCTGGGGGCCTTCCTAAGCATTGAATGCAACTTACAATTACGTACCTACTTGCTTATCTGCTGGTCTGTTGTCCATCTCCCCACCCTCCAAGGGCAAGGTCTAGGTGTCTCTTGTTCCTCATTGTGTCCCAGCACCCAGCAGAGTACCTGGCACACAAGAGGTAATTACTAAATGTTGTACAGTAAATGAACGAATGACAAATGGGAGCCATTCAAAATCTCTGTGCTGGTGTCTTGATGAGGCAGAATTGAAGTTTTTTTAAATAAAACTGACAACTACTCAGGTGGCTTTAGAGACAGAGTTCTTTTTTGTCAGAAAATCACCTTTCCAAGGGGATTCCTAAAGGATGCCTTGACCTGTTCTTTGGCTGCATGAAGTCCCCAGCACCAGGGAGCACAAACAAGGGAGGGGGTTGGGCCGGGATGCCCAAATCCCTGACGTTGAATTAGCCTGTTTTTTATGAACAGCGGTGAGGCAGGCATTGGAGAATCAGAGTGCAGGGTACTAAAAGTTCTTGACCTTTTCCTTTCTGCCAGGCAAAGAGCTTGGAGCTTGGCCTCTAATCATCATCACAACTCTGTGTGAGATCGACTTGCTGACCCCGCTTTACAGTTAAGGAAGCTGTGGCTCTGAGGGTTAGGAAATTGTGTGAGTCTAGAGCTTCTTGACTCTAGAGCTCACGTTTCTTCCTCTCTGTCATGCTTCTTTGAAATGAAATGCGTGTTGGATTTGGAGAGGTCATGCCTGGTGGACTTAGCTTGGCACTCAAGGGCACTTCCCATCTTGTCCTGATTTATCTTTCCATTATTCATCTCTTCTCACCTGGAGACCCTTCTCCTGCAAGTCCCTGGCATTCACACTGGTCTCTGGCCCCAGCCCCCACATAGTTGCTCCACCTTGTCGCATTTTGAATGAAAGTTTCCTAGTAACATTTCCAAGTCCTTCAAAGCGCACCATGATGTCTCCAGGCTTCAGAGAGCTCTCTCCTACCTCCCATCCTGCATCAGTCAGGACTAGATTACATGTGTCAGAAACCCAACTTAAACTGGCTTCAAAAATAACTTGAGAAGGCAGGTTTGGCCCAAGATGTATTGGCTCAGGAAACTTGACAGAACAGGAGTAGATTGAGCTTCAAGCAGAGCTGGATCTCAGGGTCAGACTGTGGTATAGGAATCTACTGATGCTGGCTTCATACTCAGGCAGGCTCCTTCCAAGCGGTGAGAAGATGGCCCCCAGCAGCTCCAGGTCCCCATCCTAATAGCCCACCAACTTCAAAGAAAAGAGAGCTTGACTTTCTCAAAGTTTGGAGCAAAAGCCCCAGAGCTGATTCTTTTTAAGAATGACTGGAAAAATAGCCAGCCCCGGGGCTCTGTGGATTGAGTGGAAAGCAAGAAATCCCTACAGTGCTGAAAAGAACACCATCTCCTGAGATGAGCTGGGTGCTAATGCTTTCTCATTCTTGATTTCATTTAATCCTTTGTATAGCTCTCAGAGGTGGGGGTTATACCCATATTATTGTGGAGGAAGCTGAGGCCCATAGAGAGCAGGTGACTTGTCCAAGCCATACTGCTGGTCGGCGGCAGAGCTGAGATTCAAACCCAGGTCTTTCTGACTCAACCCTGTGCTTTGCTCCAGAGCCCTGGAGATGGCAGGGCTCCCTTGGTGTTAATGCCCATCTCCTCTGTCCCTCTCGTAGGTCTATATCATCCGGGTTACATGGTCCAGCGGCTCCACGGAGGCCATTTACCGGCGCTACAGCAAGTTCTTTGACCTCCAGGTAAGGATTTGGAGTGTCCAGTGAGCTGCGGTGTAGGAAGAAGTTTAATCGGACTAACTTGACGTCAGAGCCTAGACCCTCACCCATGGTGGACACATAGTGTTCCTTTTTATTTCCTAGATTTAAAAATGATGTCCATGTGCTCACTTCAGCAGCACAGGTACTGAAATCAGAATGATACAGAAATTAACACGGTCCCTGTGCAAGAATGACACACAAATCTGTGGAGCACTCGTCTGACTATCCCAGGAGGAGAAAAACCTTCTCGGCTTCAGGCATAGCTTGATCCAGGGTTTTCACAGTACCATCTCACCCAGCTCCTTCCTCTCATCCTGCATTCCTACTTTCATGGTGTTGGCTTTATCCTCAGATCCCACAGGGTTACAAAATGCTCTGGGCTCATACTCAGCAGGAAAGAGTGAAAGGTCACTTCCCAGAAGTCCCAGTGAACACAGTGTCCTCTGCATACCATCCCGTGTCTTGACCTCACATGTTCTCTCGGAAGCTTGGGTGATATTAACCACAGGCAGCCTTGGTCGTATGGACCTAATCCATTCCTAAAAATGTTGACTAAAGAGTTTTCAGAATCTGTATTTCATTATTTTAAAGGGGGGGGAGAGATAATAATGTGCTCCTAACCAGTTTCCCCAGTATCACTAAAACAATCTCAAACGCCTACATAACAAGCTGCCAAGAGTCATTGTGTAATGTAAACCAACTGAGACACCAGTTACCTAATTATTAAAATGCACTGAACTTATTAGTGGCATTTTGTGTTCATCAAATGCAACCAAATCAAACAGTACCATATGTAAATTATATTTCCTTCTAGTCTACAGCAAACATGTAAATACATAAAGCGACTATATGTTAAAGATGCTAAGGTACTATCTAAAACAGACTTGGCAGGAGCAGCATGGGGGCGAGGAAGGGGCTGAACCCTGGGGGAAAGGCAGAGAAGATGATGCCCAACACCTTTAAACGCCATGAGCAGGAGCAGTCCTGTCTGAGAATGACCGAGATCCATACCCTCTTACGCAGATGCAGGGGTGATCTATGCGGATCTACTACAGCACGTCTTCAGTTCAGACATTGAATGTTGGGTAAACACTTTTGCAAGTTGCTCAACAGACTTTTCCTGCACAGCGGGTCTGTGTAGGGAGGACTACCTGTATTTTGCTTCCAGAAGCCTCTTGCCTGCCTGGTACCTCCAAAAGGATAACAGGGCACAGAGAACAACGAAACAATAGAACTGCTACAATCAGGATTGCTACCCTGGGGATTATGGACATCCACAGAGCCAACACCCCCTGAGCAGCTTAGGCAGGAAGAGAGGAAGAAGTAGGGTAGATTTACGGGAAGAGGCAGGTGTGCCCCCACAGATCCCAGAGCAGGAAATGCAGCTGGCCTCACAGGGCCCCAGAGCCAGCAACTGAACGGCCCTTGGAGGCCTAGCGGCTCCCCAGCCGTCTATCGCTATGGCCACAGGGTCTCCCATCGAGCCTACTCTGTTTTCCTGCTAGTCTCTTTGGACCAGCTTCCTCCCCGGACCATTGGCCCACATCTCCAGACAGCACTGCAGTCCCCCAGTTGAAATGTCCTTCCCTGTTGCCAACACTCTGGCGTTTCTAGGTGCTGGGTCCAGTCTCCAGGAGAGAGAGAATCTGATGGTCCCAAGGGTGCTGGGTCCACCCCTGAGACTGTCGGCTGTGGCCAGAGGGGTCTGGGCGTTTGGTACAGCATCATCTGGAGGAGGAGAGGTTGAATGAGGATGGGGTGGGGAGAAGCTCTGGAAATGTTAATAGCTGTTGTTCTGCAGCCAGTGAGGCAGCATACCCAGGGCTTTAGACCTTGACTTCTGGGATTAGACAGACGTTTCGAATCTCAGCTCTGCCTTTCAGATCTCAGCTTGGTGTCACCACTGTGTGTTTGAGACTCAGTCTCCCCATCTGCATGTTAAGAGTGAAAACACTTTCTTCGTGCATTCATTGTGACCGTTACTCAAGATGTGCCTTGCTCAGTAAGCACATTAGCTGTCATTAGCTGTCCCTTTGTTCAGATGAGACTTGCCCAAGGTGACATCATTTGGGAATGCTTGAGCCAGAGTATGATCACGAGTCTCCCTGGCCCAAAGCCTGTCCTCCCTGACTCTCCTGTTCTGACTCAACTTTCTTATTTCTTCCAGAGCTTAAAAGTGAGGTTTTCTCCCCCACTCGGCATAATTGGCAATAATTGGGGGTTTACTATAACATAAACAGCTGCCTCAGACACCCCTCCCTGATTGTCTAAAGGCAGTGCTTCAGCCAGCTTTAAAGAGTCCCAGATGGGTGGCTGGAGTGGGAACATCATGGAATTCCAGAGGGTCCCGCTGTCCTAGAAGTGGACTGCCCCCCACCCCCCACATCCCAGAGGGGGGATCTGGAAGAGAGGAGGGCAGGACCCCACCAGCCAAAGTCAACTGTTCTCCAGGACCAGGCAAGGAGGCCAGCCCGCATGGGGCTGGGACCCCTCGAAGTAAGATGATTTCGTGATCCCACCCTCCCCTTCCTCTTGTCTGCCGAGTAGCCTTGGCTTTTTCCGAAAGTGACTTGGCACAAGAGAGTATGGGGAGGGCCAGGCTTTCGTGGAGGAACAGCTAGGCCAGTGTGCTGTAATGGAAAATGCAGAGGACTCAGTCAGGAGACTTGGGGCCCAGCCGCCTGTGCTGTGTGGCCTTCGGCATGCCCCTTAACCCCTGTGTTGCCTCTCTGTCCTCATCAGTAATGTGTGGTAATGACAGCAGAACGAGCTGGTATTTCTGGAGCACTGACTGCTAAGCATCTAGATGATAATGACTCATGGAATCCTCGCATTAAGCTTATTCAATTACATAGATGGAGAATCTTAGGCTCAGAGAGGTTAAGTCATTTGCACAAGGTCACACAGCTAGTGAACATCAGAACTTGGGTTTGAAACTGGGTGGGTGACTCCAGAAGCCGCACTCTTAGCCACTTTGCTTCTAGTGTCCCTCTCTCTAGTGGCTACTTCACAAGGTTTATATGGACTTAAAAGTGGTGATGTGTGTCCAGAAAAGGTAGATTCAGCAGATCCGTGGTTGCCAGGAGCTGGGGGGAGGGGAAAAGGGGAAGAGGCTGTTTGTGGGTACTGGGTGTCTTTTGGGGGTGATGAAAATGTTCTGGAATTGGGTGATGGTCATGGTTGCACAGCCTTGTGAATATACTAAAAACCACTGAATTGTACACTTTAAAAGGGTGAATTTTATGGTATATGAAGTATATCTCAACTGCTTTTTTTAAAAAGTGATGACGTGTGTGAGCAGTTTCTGGGCTGTCCAGCCCTGAGCAAATGTCAGCTGTTGGGATTTATTGATGGGCGCGGGTTGTTGCTAGGAACTGGCGTAAAGATTAGAGGAAGAGACGATGCCAGTTTAATAGAGTGGTTAAGATCCTGGGCTTTGATCTAAATGCTGCCACTTACTGGCTGTGAGATCTTGTTTTAGTCAGAATTTGTTTTAGTCGCAGATGACAGAAACCCAGTCAAAATGGATTACTCAAAAAGAACATTGATTAGCTAAATGTAACTGAGACATCTAAGCATTCTTGGCTTCAGGTATGGCTGGATCCAGGGGCAAAAATGTCAGTGAGGACCTGCCTTTCTCCACTTCTTAGTGTTCTCCGTGCCCAAGCAGGGTGGTATGTGGTAGTGGTGACCACAGCTGTAAGCTGTATCCACCAGGTCAGCTCAGTGGCTTCAGGAAAAAGAAGAACACCCCCAACAATTTAAGCAAAAGTCTCATTGGTTCATCTTGGGTCAATGGCTGGGCCAGTCAGGGCCAGCCTAGGGACTGGAGTAAAAGAAATAGCCTGTAGATGAAACAGCAAATGCTCCTCCCGGTTGGGGCAGGACATTCAGGCAGAGGAAATAGTCTGCAGGGAGGCTGCCTGGGGTAGAAAGGAGGAGCATGCCTCAGGCTCCTTTGTGGGAAAAGAGACTCACAGTCACCAGCGAGAAGGCCCCCTTTATGACAGTTCACCTTCTGGTATGATTTCCTAACCCTCTTACGCTTAGAGCAGCCAGACCCTGGTCGTCATACCCACCACTTTCTAGTGGTCATCTGAGCTCGTGTCTCATTCACACGAGGGTGCAGGTGATAGAGCCCTGGGCTTGGGATGGGAAGACCTGGTGTCAGCTCTGTGTTACCAGCGATGTGGCCTTGGGCAGGCCTCTCTGAATCTCCCTTTCTGCCCTGCTGGGGCTCACGCTGGAGAGTCTATCCCAGGGTGCCAGAGGGAGTTGGCATCTGAGCAGGGCATGGGGACAGCCAGAACACGCAGAGCGTCGAGGGCAGTGCCTAGAGGAAATGGGGTTTGAGTGATGCAGTGACGGGGTCAGCGAGCATTTATTGAAATGCGCCAGGTGCCCACTTTCTGTGCCGTCTCATTCAGTCCTCACTTACAAGCCTGAAGTCACAGACAGGGAAGCAGAAGCTCAGAGATGCAGAGTCATGTGCCCAGAAGCAGCGTGGCTAGGATTCAGGCCCAGGTATGGCTGAGTCTGAAACCCGTGCTCCTAACCACGGAGCCCCCCAGCCTCCTTGAGGCCCAGCACTGGCGTTACGTCTGTCTGTTCAAAGATAGATTTGCCGCAGCGCTCTCCCTAGAGCTGGCCTTCGGAGGCCCATTTGGCACTCCCACTAAGAAGCGGGCAGAGCCTGTCCTGCGGAGGGCTGCTCCGAGCACAACACAGGCCCTTCACAAACAGGCCTCAGATGTGGGAGGGGTCCACTCTACACCGTGCCATGCGACCTTTGCCCTCTGAGTTTCCCACTGGCTCAGTGTGTCCCGCCAGGCCGGCGTCATGGTCTTCAGCGGAACCAGGGCTCTCCCCACGGAAGGCATAGTTAAATATGTGCTGAGCCAGACCCCAGGTGTGCAGAGAGGGACCTCTGTCCCAGCCAGGGAGCCTCAGGCAGAGCTTGCTTCCTGGAGGAGCTGATATCT